AGAATGTCTTGTGCAAGGGTTCTTGTGCAAGAAGTCTTGCACAAAAACATGTCCACATTGCCATGTGTGAGCTGTGCTTTTGCACAAGAGCATCCATGGCAGTGTGGACGCTCTCTTGCGCAAGAAAGCTCCGATGGGGCCATTTTAGCCATAGGGGTTTCTTGCGCAAGAAATCCCTGCTGAGCATCCACACTGCCCTCTTGCGCAAGAGAGCTTACACCTGTTAGAAAAGAGTGTAGCTCTTGCGCAAGACGCCCTCTCTTACCATGTTGTACTGTAAATTTCCTTGCGCAACAGCAGGCGGGCAGCGTGGATGCTCTGTGGGTTCTTGCCCAAGAACGGCTGTACTTGCACAAGAAGCCATGAGTGTAGACGTAGTCTTAGAGGGAACACTTCCCCCAGCCTCTCTGCCCCCGAGTTAATGTCACACACATTGGGTTAATGCAATTGCAGGATAGTTGCATGAGGGGGGTTTGGTGGGAGCCAGACTGATCCCTGTTGGTAGGAGGATGGTGGGAAAAGTCCTTCGAGAGGGGTGACATGACACCTTTTACTTCTGGTCATGTGTCCGTCTTGCCCCGAGCATGTTACCTCCAGGGGCCTGGTTAACAGGAGTCAGGGGCTGTGGCTAATGGGGCACCACCAAAAATTATACAAACCTGCCGCCCCTGTTCCTTCTGTGGACCACTTCATAGAGCCTTCCAGTGATCTGCCTCCCAGACCACAGAGAACTGACTATGGCATCAGACTCCATCCTAGCTCAGAGTTTCCATGCACTAGATTGTGCAATTGTGCTTCTTTGGGAGCGGTCTCCCATCCACCTCTTAGGAAGCAGGATCCAATTCCATGCCAATCCCCCTCGGATCTTGCTTCTGTTTCTGAGAAGCTCTCTGAAGAGCTGTTTACCCGGGTTTCCTGCACCATCACGCTGCTGCCTCGCTCTGAATTACATCCCAGCTCTCCCCTTCATATTTGATCCCCCAATAATTTGGAAAGACTTTCATTTAAGGACTAACCCAGTCATCATTTTATTTGCTTCCGCTCCACATATAAAGTTTGCCTGTTCTCTCTGGCTCCCCCCGCATTGTCGTGTTATAATACAGGTGTCTTCAGCAGTATGGCCCCATTGTCGGACCACACTCAGACACAGGATCCTGGTCCACTGGGACAGAACTGCTGGGCCAGACAAGATTATTGGTTTGTCTAATTTAGCATCCTCCCTTTGGCACCAGCTCAGCAAGACATCTCAGCAGAGGAGAGTAATGCAGCATGTGCTAAGCTTTAAGAGCAAGCCCCCTGGTCTCAATAGAGCACATGCTTGGCTCTGTTGCTGAACTCGTGTCATAGGACTGTGGTGTGAGCAGCCATGCCTAGTGGTTAGAACAGGAGTATGCCCTGTGGATGGCTCTCATGGTCTTGAGCCACAGCAGACTGCTCGACCAAGACACTCCTGTATTAGCCAGGAAACAGACTGGGCCTTTCTAATGGCAGGAACAAATCTGCTACCTAGTTTTAAGATCAATATTGTCCCTGCATATTCTCTTCGTGGGTCACGTTTCCTTTGTTAATAACCAATCAGATGAAACTCCAGTAGCAAAGGCCATACTTTTAGCTCTCTGCTGTATTTTAGGCTGCCCAGACTCAGGGCTGCTCTGTTCATAACAGCTTCCCTCTGAGCTCTTCTGACCCACATCAGATAGACAGACAGGAGGGGGAGCTTGGCAGGGAGGGAAGGGAAGAATTGGAGACCCAATGACTCATGTGAAGACAAGCTAGGGAGAGGATACCATGGTAGTGTCCCATAGATGTTCAGACCAAGCACTGAATGGATCCGTATTGAACTACCTGGGAAGATAAATCTGTCACCAATTATTAAAAGGTTACATCCTTGATTCACAGTCATAATTGTTCTCTTGTCTCCATAGAGAAAGGAGAGGGAACCTCAGCTGATTTCATGGCTACCTGGAAGGCTGACGAGTTCTATGGAGAGTGGAGGGGAATGAAAGAAAACAAGGGACAGGCAGAGCAGGTGGTTTGGATCAAAGCTGGCCTGGCCCATCTGACCAGTATCCCTGAGCTAGCTGCCACGTGTCCAGTTTTCAATCAGAAAGTCCGGCTGAAAGGGGACTTGTTCCACGTGGGCTCACATGTCCTGACTGGACACCTGAAGTCCAGTTGCCATGGGTGGGGACCAAAGGAGGAGAGGCTGTGTCATTGACCCACATCAATCCCTGCTCAGCTTGGGCCACCTCCTACCTGCATCTCAAGGGCAGGAAGGCTCCCCTCCTAGCCTTGGAGCCCAGCTGGGGCGGGATTGAGCAAGGAGGAAGGGGGAGTGTGACAGGCGGGGGAAGAGGCTGCACAAGGGGAAGATTCTGGTTTTCCTGCTGTAGCGTCCGGTTTTCAGACATCAGAAAGTCAGCAGCCCTGTTTGTTCCTGCGCGGCCAGTGGGCTGCCAAACTGGGGAAGGGGGGGGGAGAACACGCTTACCGGAGAGGCAGGCGGTGGTGTCGATCCACTTCAGCAGCTGCCCGATACTGAGCTCGCCGCGGTGGTTCGTGTGGCAGGGCAGCACCAGCTGGCTCATCTGCACCTCAGTGGGATTGCGGTAGCCCTGCCCGCCCTCCATGGCCAGCAGTGTAGAGGCGGAGCCCTGGAGAGGAGGGGAGAAAACACAGAGAACTCAGCACCTGTGGCAGCGAGCAGGGACCCGGCTGCAGCCTGCCCTGACCCCACAGCCAGGCACAAGTTGGCGGAGGGGCAGGAAGGCTTCCCAGGCTTCCCAAGTGAGGTGCTTCGCAGACGGGGCCTCCTTAAGGCTCAGAGCTGCTGGTCACTCGCTTGCCAGGCTCGGGGCTAAGAACTAAGCCACTAATCCAAGGCCTTTGGGGGGAGCCATATCAGGAACATATGACAGTCCAGGTTTAAAAAAAAAAAAGTAAAAGCCCCTTTTCCCATGTGTCTCAGGGAGAAGCGAACCACGCTCTGCTGGGCTAGCATGCCAAGATGGGGTGTGTCAAAGGAGCTCCCAGGGGATAAGCCATCCAGTTCCCCAGCAACAATGGAGCGGAGCATGGCTGGAATCAGAATTCCTGGCCAGAAGTGGCACCTTCTTAACCCTGCAGCACTTACCAGACAGGCAAAAAAAACCCCGAACATTTCTCCTTTCTGTTAGCAGAGTCAGGCCAGAGAGGGAGAATGAGCAGCATCTGGTTCCGCCGTGGGAATCATTATTTATCATCTAACAGCACCAAAAAGAGGGGCCATTTGGAGCTGAGCCCCCACAAAACTCCCAGTCCGGGTAGGCAGAAGGCTCAGGAAAGTTCCAAAGGAAAATTCTTCACTGATGGAGATAGGGCTAGGCTACGCCTGGCCCCATATTGCTCCAGCATTTAGAATGCAGCCATGGTGGGTGGGGGGCTGGTTCTGACCCACCTCCAGTTACCAGGCAGTCATTGGAAATCGCGCTGGTCAGAAAACACAATGAAAACTCAAAATACCCTGATTCAAAAGGGGCACTTTGTGGCTGCGGTTGTCCCGTGGTAGGCCAGGGTCAGGACTCCGGACACCCTCCTCTCATCCAACACGGTGAAAGTGGTGCACCGTTGAAATGACAGTCCGTTCCAAGAACTTATCCCGTAAGAGTCAATAGGAACATAAGGCCTCCAGGATTACAACCCCCTTGAGGCAAGACAGTGCCATTTGTTAATCAAAATATTTCAGGTGACAGCCAAAATATTTCCGTTTCCAGTAAAGCGATGAAATGTACATTCTCCACAGAAAGCCAACACTTAGCAAAAAATACCATTTAGTCAAAAGATCCAATTTTCTGTTCAAAATATTTGAGGTGGAGAATTTCCTGCCATCAGAAAGAGCACAGCATGGTTTTCAGCTCACCAGCTGCTTGCCGGGCTGGCTCTCCCCGTACGCTGAGAGCGTTCGGAGATCAAATCCAGAACCTACATTGCCTCGCCCGTCTACAGTCAGACTGATGGAAACAGCAGCAGCTCACACAGCAGTTTATTCCTTACAATGGGGTGGGGAACCTTTTTTGGGTCAGGGGCTGCTGACCCACAGAAAAACCAGTCGGGGGCCGCACACAAGTGAGACGCCCCTGAACGAGAAGGAGAAAAACACTCCCCACATTCTCCTTGCACACCAGCGCCTAAACGGGCCCAGGCTAGTAGACTTTGTAGGTTCCAGCCCTGCAGGTGGATGGAAGGGAGTGCCAGCACAGGCTCCCCAATGCTGAGCCTCAGGGGTTGGATCCAGGCAAGCTGGGGGCCACATCTGGCCCCCCAGGCCTGAGGTTCCCCACCGGATTTAAATGAAGTTCAAACAGGTTACATTCCACATCTTTAGTAAACAAGATAGAATATAGCAACATACTAATTTACTTCTCAGAACTCTGTGTTTTACTAGCCAGATGATCCATAAGTCTGGACCCTTCTACTTCCCCATTTGTCTGGCTGCTTTGGCTTGCAAATTGAAGGCTTTTCTGACTCATGAAGGCAAATTTGTTCCTAAGTAAAAGGGCACTAACCTAACAAATAAGTTGAGAGAGAGAGAGAAAGAAAACAAGCATGTGCATTTTACTTATGTGGATGGACGGTAGTTTGTACCTAGCCATTTTCATAGCTTCCCCTGTAAAGTCAGTTTCCCTTGTTTGAGTCTCACACAAACCAACAGGGGACAAAAAAATTGTTTTTTAAAAATGGAAGCTGTAATTATAAAGCCACCAAAAAAAAAAAAAAAAAACACCACAACCACCATCACACCAGCGGCAGGTTCGGAAAACTTTTAAACTGACTAGATGATCGTGCTGTGTCCTTTTACATCAATGAAATTACACCAGAGATTAACTTGACCCCGATGAGTAACTGACCAGACACCAGTCTAGATTTTGTTCTGAACTTTCCTCTTCTTTCCGAGCTTCTTTTTCTCTCTTGATACAAAGTCCTCACTGCAGCAGCTTCCCTTGCAGATGATCTACAGACGTTTTAATGGGTTTGTTTTCAAAATTAAGCCTTCTCTGTTGAAAATGTCCCCTGTTCTTTTGGGCTCGGCATATCTGAACACAGTGCCGTCTCTCCACGCAGCTTTAGCCTCCCCTACTGCATTTCTAATAGGCGAGCTCCGTTTCCATAGCTACTGTTATAAGATGTTCCCGAAACGGTTCAATTCTCAGGTTAGAGATTACAATGTGTGTCAAGTACATTTATATTAAAATATCACACTCTCACCCAGTGAACTGGATTCCAGCTCCTGTGCTAGCCCCAGAGTGCTGCAGGACCACTGCACCCCATGCAACTCACAAGCCACACATCCTGGATAGAAGGACTTCAGCTTTGGTTAGTTCTTGCTGAAGCTTAAAAATAAATAAATAAACCACCACACCTGTTAGTCCATGTTGTGACTTCCCAGCCTCCCCACACTAGCAACATGCCAGGAGAAGTCTATTTTTAGAAGCAGCCTTAAAGTTACAAGCCAGCCAGTCATGGTTCAAAGCCTATGCATCTCTGCAAAGCCTTCTCCTTTTTACTGCCTCTTTGTTTTGCTATCCCTATAGGAAATAAATGGATCACCCATTGGCACAGAGGATGAATTTCCTCCTCTTGCACACTGATATAGCACTGGACTGGCCGGGTAGATTATGGAGAATGTATGCCTTTGCTATTGCCTAAAGTCGGAATCATGACACAAAGCTAGGACCAATGGCCCGCTCTGGTCGGATAACACCTCTGACAGCGAGGTATCCCACAACCACATGGCACTAGCTGCTGGGCCAGGAGCGAAGAACACCCGTGATTCAATTACAGCATGCTGCAGTGGGCAAGGTTTGTGAGCCGCTACACAACCCTGCAGACTGCCAGGGCAATCCGAATGGTGAGCGTGGGAACTGAATGCCATTGCAACAAAACCACAAGACCATCCCCATGACCACAAGATGTATTATTTTTCTGATCATTGGAGACCGGCAGAAGAGACACTCAAGCCAGAGTCTGAGGTTTAAACCTACCTCCCCACCCTCGATTCCCATTGGCCATTCTGTACCCCTGGCATGCAGCCAGTGCCAGAAGCAAAAGATTCCACCGAAAAACAACATGAGCAAAGTGGTTCTTGCTTTGTTTCTGGACCTTCTGAAGCAGGAAGCGTTGGGACTCTCAATCCACCAGGTCATGTGAGATTTCCAGACTCAAGAGCTTTCTGAAGAGAATCTAGGTCAGGATTTTCAAATTCAGTTGCCTACAGTTAGGCAGAGGAATAAGTGGCCTGATTTTCAGAGATACTCAGCATCCGCAGCTCCCCTCTGAAATCAGTGCAAGTCAGAGGTGCTCAGAGCCTTTGGAAGGAAGAAAGAAAAAAAAGTCAGGCCACTTATTCCAGTGCCTCATGTTGTGCTCTAGAGTTTGAAAACTGTAACCCACATATTTAAGTGCCTAAGATGGAGTCAGATACTGACTGTTAAGCACCCAACTCTGAAAATTCTGGCCACAAACTTTTTGGGCTTCTGTGAACTTCTGTCTGCAAGGTTCACTCAGTCGCTACCTCTGCTCAGCTTTGGCGGCCTAGATGTTTATACACATTTAAGTTTGCTACTTGGAATCATTTATAATCCTCTTGTTTTGGTTTGGATGGGCTTAGCCCAAAACTTGTATGGAGAAAATAATTCGTAGATGTGGTTGCTCCATCTCAAAGAGAGAGATCTTGGCACTGGAAAAAGTTCAGAAAAGGGCAACAAAAATGATTAGGGATCTGTAACGGCTGCCATATGGGAAGAGATTAATAAGACTAGGACTTTTCAGTTTGCAAAAAGAGATGACTAAGGGTAGGATATGATAGAAACCAATAAAATCATGACTAGTGTGGAAAAAGTGAATGCAGAAGAGTTATTTACTCATTCCCATAACACAAGGACTAGGGGTTAGGTTGTCAAATTAAATTAATAGGTAGCAGATTTTAAAAAACAAACAAAAGGAAGAATTTTTCCACATAACCTGTGGAATTCCTTGCCAGAGGATGATGTAAAGTCCAAGACGAACAGAGCTCAAAAAAGAGCTAGATAAATTAATGGAGGTTAAATTCAAGATGGGCAAGAATGGTGTCCCTAATCTCTGTTTATCAGAAGCTGGGAATGGATCACTTGATTCCCTGTTCTTTTCATTCCCTTTATAGCACCTGGCACTGGACTCTGTCAGAGGACAGGATACAGGGCTAGATGGACCTTTGGTCTGACTCCAGTGTGGCCGTCCTTATGTAGGCAAGTTATAACTATGAATGTTTGTCTTCTCTGTATTAGCATTTGCAACATACAGATTTTCAAAATGACTACCACATTCTAAAACTACGTATCTAGCATCTGGGCTTCAACCCTTCTCCCTAAAAGCCTCCACTAAGTTACATGTAAGCTCTCCCTCTCCTCCACATCTCCTGAAAGATCATTTTGCTTTTGTTTTTTATACCTCACAGCTATGGAAAACCTCGAGCTGGCCTTTCCTTGAGCGCCAGAAGATCTGCACCTTATAGCAGGGAGCTAAGATGTGCACTGGTGCACAGCCAGTTTTTCCATTTAGAGACTGAAACTGCTAACATGTAAGCCTGCAAGGGGCAAGCCAAAAAAGGAAACACGTGCGCGCGCACACACACACACAC